GACGGGACATCGTCGTGGGAAAGTTGAAGAGGGAGACAAAGTTGATGCAAGCTCTGAGGGAATCGTTTCTGGTGCACGTCTCTTCCGAAAGGTTACCGGACGAGGGTGCTGCGATCGACGAATCGTTTCTGGATGACGTCAAGCAGTTCGTGTGCGACCTGATGACGATTCTGCTCTGCTATTCCGACAAACTGAATCGAAGAAGCATTTCTTGCTATCGAACTCGGACGAAAGTACTTTGTACCTGCTCAAGAGGACCGTGTACGGCGTTCGCTTTGAGAACTCCGTCGTGCTACTGCCTAGGTACCATCGGCTGAGACCACTTCCCGGAGACCGGCTGCTGCCTCGGATATTCGAGGTGAGCACGTCCCGTCTGACGGAATGTTCGAGTCTGCTGCAACGGATGATGGGCGAGAAGGTGTGCAGGTTTCGGATGAAACAATTAAATCGTTAAAAACTTTAACTTTTCGTCTCTGTTTCTTTCTTTTTGTCAAATTGTCATTCGTGTGCATTCGCGAAGATGCTGCTGCAGCTGCAGCTGCGGAAGCGGCGGCGGCGGCCTCGTCCTCCGATATTCCCCGTGGCGCCGGAATAACCGAATCAGGTTCCGTTTTTCTTGGACGATCTTCTAACCGTCTCCAGTTCCACGTACCAAGAGGTGAGGCGGATGCGTTTGCTAGCCGACGAACGCCAAGACATCTTGGGTTGCCCGGCCGAACGCAGGTTGTCATTAATGACAAGGACGAGCCGCAAAATCGTCGGTGTTGTTAAAAAAAATAAAACAAACTGTAATGGCAACTAGAGTTCCCGGTCTCGCCGGCACTTCTACCTCGACAGCCGGCGAACGATCGGCGAGATCCCGAGAGAAGAAGAGAAAGGCGCCGACGGAAAAGGCGAACGCCAAGCAATCTCGCATGGACGACAATTACGAGAGGCGCGTTCACGCGCAGCTGGCCGACCCCGAACTCACTAATACGGGTTGATGCGCATGGTTTCCACGTCGTACAGATCCGGATACGCACCGTCGGGTTCGATGATGGGTCTGTCCCCTCAGCTTGTGCGCGTAAACGGATTCGAACGTCGATTCGTCGACGCCTTCGTCTCCGGAACCGTGTGCGGCAACATGGAGACCGACCAAGGGAACCCGGACGGCGCGTGCGATCTCAAAAGTTTGTTCGAATGCCTGTGCAGTCTGCTCTCCCTGCTGGCGAAGATTCTCGAGACGAACGAGTACAGCGAGATGAAAGAGAGCGTGAGAACCATGTGCGACTGTCTGTTTCTCGGCGGTAGCT